TCCAGCTAACACATATGCACATTCTGTTACAAAGAGTTAAAGTAACACTTGATAAATCTTAAAATCAACGAAGTATATAGAATAAGGAATAATTTTCCTTTGTTGTTACTCCTCAGAAGTCACTTTTTAAAAATAATTTTATAAAGAAAGGAATGAATGACTTAACCTGTATTAAGACCACCATTACTTATTTCCATTTGTGCTATTTGTTTTGGTAATAGACCACAAGGGGGCATCAACCTATGAGTTTTTCCCTATTAATTACAGAGCCATATTAAAATCAGACTGGAATAGAAAGACTAAAAGGGTAAGTCTGCCTAAGCCTCAAATGATACTTCTCTCAAAAATGCTTTACTTCTAAAACTTTTCCTACTATACTGCAATTCCAAATTCCTCCTGTAGGGGTTAATGTAACAAGTACCAATCTGAGGACTGTACTAATCAGAGCTGTCCACATGGTATGCTTCTCTTGCTAGCTTGTCTTCAAAACAGATTATGTAATTTTGAGTTTTAAGGCCACTGAGTCAAGAAGGAAAAAGTTATCAGTGGTGGCTAAAGCCAATAGATACTGGACATACACTACTGTCTGGCAACAAAAGACTGACAACTGTTTCTTAAAGGACACATTGTCAATTAATTAAACAGATGTATGTCACCACCAAAGTATACAAGAAGTACACTTCAACAAAATCAACAAAATATTAAAGGTCTTTTAAACAAACATCTCTGCAAAAAAGGGAGGAACTGACTTCAGGATACTAACAAAAAATAGCAATAAACAGTAATAAATTACAGTAAACTTAATTTTCCATATAAAAATTTTAAACAAATTTACTTTCTAAATATGCTGAAAAGTGAAAATAACAGAACTTCCACTCCAATCACAAGCCATTGTTAAAACATAAATGTTCTTTCCAAAATGTAGCTAGGATGGAATCAAAATGATCATCTTCATCCTTACTTTTACATTTAGCCCAGTTTTCTCCTACCCAGGCTTCTAATGCACTTCTCATATTCAAATCCAGTCTTTCTTGTTACACAAATCTTAGACTATGTCTACCATGCTTTGGTATTGTGCATCTCATTCCTTTCTTGGCTTTACCTACAAGTTAGGGCTCTTTTTTTGTTTTCAATTATTTATTACTTATAATGCCAAGTATTCTAGTAAATATACAGTCTTCCCACACTGTAAGTACTTAAGACTGGGAAACACAGACATCCAGCAACATTTCCAGGAATGAAGACCCTGACATGTTTGGAGGGTTCTGTTTCTGGGATTATTTGAATTAGGTACCCAGGAAACTCTGTACTAGCTGTAATGGCTCAAAGCTCAATTAAGCATGGGCCAGGTCTACTTCATTCACCACTATACACACCTGCCATACAGTAAGTGTCCTTTTAAAGAAGTGCAGGTCTACAATCATTCAGCCAAAAGCCTCAGGAACAGACGTATTCCTCAATTTAGAAGGTTTCATGATTTAGTAAGGTAATACATTACACACATCACACACTACGGAACAACCCCAGTAGGACACCACCCTGTACCAAGTACAACATTATCTGCAATGAAAGACACAAATATTTAAGTAAGTGGAACAAAACGCCTCACTCAAATCAGTTGCATCAACAAATGACTATGCCACAAACTTAAGAGTATCTTCGTTTTCAGTTTTTAAGATTTCTGAACTGTGGCAGAAGACTGTGAGCTGTATTTCTGAATGTGAAATACACTTGCCCAGTTTTACTAGAGATGTTAATCATTTCCTCTCCATTCCCATAGCTTACTCCCTGAAACCGTGTCCTCCTCCCATTTACAACAGGCAGAGGATCTCATTTCTTCAGTGGCAGCCACTGTGAATAGAGAGGATAGATATCTGACACTAACTGGGCCAAACAAAATTACTCTGCACATAAAGAGAGGCTGAAGTGATAACAGATTCCAGACCTGAAAAGCTGACCACTATGGGATTTGCACAAACTAAATCTAAAGGAGCTGATCTACAAAGTAACCAAATAAATGTACGAGAAGACAAAACATGTACACACAAACAAAATAACTCTACCTTTCGAGTTCCTCCTGACTTCTCATACTAAATACTTTATAAACTTTCTTCCAAGGATTTCAATGGTTTACAACTGATTAAGAAAATTTCAGAGTAATAAACCACATAGATTAGAATGAGAATATGCCTGTGAAGATACCAAAGAAAACGAGTCATTAAAGAATAAATACAAATAGCTGAATGATGGGGAAAACATATCCTCACAAGTAACAAAAAAGTCAAATTAAAGCAATCTTTGCAATGCCATCTTGCACCAATTAAAGGAGTAAATTTTTATTTAAAGAAACCCTACCACTATCAGTGAGACTACAGCAAAATTAATACTAAATCACTGCTAAGCAGCTCTGTAGCTTAACTCAGTCCAGACTTCTACCTCCACGTAGGGACAAAAAGCTTATGACAAACCAATAATCCCTCTGAAAACTGGAAAAGCTAGATGAATACAAAATCGTCTCTTAAAAGGCATCTAAGAGTTTTCAAAGCAATGAGAACAAAATGGACTAAGTAAGAGATGACTGTGGAGAAGTGAGCTGATGCTTTTTTCTTGGGCAACTCTAGGCACAGAGAAGACGCTGAGAATTATGATTCGTCCTGAGCAAAAACTTAAAGTAGTCTGAGAAGGCTGTAGTAACAAAATCAGAGACATGCAAGGTCTCAAGCGTACGGCTGGTTTCCCTCTCATGGCATTTATCAAATTCTGAAGCTGAAAAGGCCAAAGAGCTAAACTGAAACTCCGAAAAGCAGAGTCCAGGGTACCAGTAAGACACTACTTAAGAGTTTAGAAGCCTTCGAAGGAAGAAGTCTGGTGAGCAAACTAGGTTTTCAGATAAAAGCCAAGAAGGAATCAAAGGTAGCTGATACCTTACTAAAACAAAACCCAGCCTGTACTCCACTCAGTACCTGCCTGGATTAAAGTAACCAACCAATCCCCACTTTATCAATTGCAGAAGAAAGGGTGAAGCTTTTCCAGAGGAAGGTATCATCTTCAGGAGTACGTACAATGTTAAAGATGCTAAAAGATTAATTAAATTAACATTTCATTATAAATGCTTCAATGACATTTACATTAGCAGTTAACTAAAAAACAAAGATACCAAAAAACAGGACCATATGAACAGATATCAAGAAGAAAAACCAAAGAGCCAAACATGCAATCTACATAGTGGAGTTAACAAACTAAGACATTAAAATAAAATTATTAATACACTCAAGAAAATAGTGGAAAAGATGGGAGAATATATGAAAAGATAGCATATTTCACCAGAGAATTAGTATCTATACAAGAATCAAATGTATAATCTATAACTAAAACATCTAAAATGAGCTCAATATGGGATAGTAACAGGAGATTAAACACAAAAGTCACAATTTTTGAACTGGCTGACAGGTCAGTACTACATCCAGATTAAAGCCCAAAGATTTAAAAACAAAAAATGGAAAATACAGAAAAGGATTAATGTGAGACATATGAAATACTGTACAATTAATGATCCACAGAGGGAAGAGAGAATGGCAGAAGCAATATTTGAACAGATCATGACATGATTTTCTAAAACTGAGAGGAAGGTATTAAACAAAAGATTCAAGAAGCTCTAAGAACTTCAAGCAAGAGAAATTTTTTTAAAAGTTGTATCAAGGCACAATATAGTTACACTGATAAAAACCAAAGAAAAAGAGAAAACGTTATAAGCAGCAAGGGGGAGAAGGAGCAGGGAGGTGATATAGTGCCTTCAAAGGAGCAACAAGATGAGTCAGAGCTAGAGCTAACTTCAGTGAAAAAAATGACAGAATTTGGAAGAGAATAGGATAAAATCTTGAAGAGCTGAAAAAAATAACTGAAAATCTATAATTATGCACAGAGCAAACAGACCCTCCAACATGAAGGAAAAATAAAAAACATTTTCACACAGAAACAAAATTCCGCACCAGCAGATTTTCACTGGAAGAAACACTACAGGTAAATTATACAATGTGATAGAGGTGTTATCTAATACTAAGGCAGTAATCACTGTGCAATATATAAATGTTATCAAAACAACACACTACACCTTAAACTTACATAATGGCATATTTCAATTATCTCTCAATAAAGCTGGAGGAGGGGGAAGAACTACAAGTATTCAGAGTAACAGAAATGCAGAAAGAACTAAAAAGCAACTATTTAGGTAACAACAAAAAAGTAAAGGCAAATTAGTATTGACTGCACAGAACAATTAAATTGTATTGTGTTTAAAACACATAAAATTAAAATGCATGGAAGTAATAATGCAAGAGGGGAAATGGATAAATGAATGCATGCTGCAATCTCTAGGAAAAGTTTCCCTAGTGAAAAAAGGATAGGAAAAAAGCACAGTGTAAATATATAGTATATTTAGTGGTAACACATATGTAAAACAGAGTATTAAGGTACTATGGTAAAAAGAATGTATCATGAACAAGTTAACAGAAGGGAGAAAATACAATATGGTTATCTGGTTAAATCAAAGGAAGGCACCCAAAAAGGCGGAGAGAAAAGAGAACATAAAAGTGGGTAAAACTGACCCACAATGAGACACCACTTCACACCCATTAGGATGTCTGTTAAAAAAAGAAAATAACAAGTGTTGGCAAGGATGTGGAAAAATTGGAACTTTTATGTACTGTTGGTGGGAATGTAAAATAGTACAGCGACTGTGGAAAACAGTATGGTAGTTCCTCAAAAATGAAACACAGAACTATCGCATAATCCAGCAATTCCACTGCTGGTATAGACCCAAAACAATCAAAAGCAAGGACTCAGACATTGGCACTCTCATGTTCATAGCAGAATTATTCACAACAGTCAAAAACTGAAAGAAACCCATGTCCACTGATGGATGAATGAGTAACAAAATGTGGTATATTATACAGCCTTTGAAAGAAAAAACTCTAATACATGATATAAAATGGATCAGCCTTGAAGACATTATGCTAAGTGAAACAAGTCAGTACAAATGGACAACTACTGTATTATTCCACTTTATACAACATACCCAGAGTAATCAAATTCACAGAGACAAAGTAAAATGGTAGCTACCAGGGAATAAGAGAATGGATAATGAGGAGTTATTGTTTAAAGGACAGTGTTAGTTTTGCAACATAAAAAAGTTCTGGAGCTGGATGAGGGTGATGGTTGTGCCACAATGTGAATGTAGTACACTTAAAATGATTTAAATGACAAATTGTTATGCATATTCTACAGTTTTAAAAATAATAGAAAGTCAAGTAGAAAGACAATAAAATGAAACTAAATATATCAGTAGTTCTATTATACAGAAATTGACTAAATATCCCAAATGAAATAAAAAGATGTCCAGGCTGAGTTTTTAAAACCACAACTATATGTTGTTTACAAGAAACACGCTTTGCACACAGACTGAAGTTCATGGAAAAAAAAAAGCAGAATATGCTGATGTGGCCATTCTAATATTCAACAAAGGAGATCTGAAGGCAAGAAACATCACCAGAGACAAAAATATTTCAGAATGATAAAAATGTCCATTGACCAGGAAGTTATTACAGTCCTAAATGTGTATGCACCAAATAATGTAACTTCAAAATGTATAAAGCAAAGGCTGAAAAAATAGAGGAAAATATAAGTCTGCAACCATAGCAGAGATTCTAAACCCACATCTCTTTGTAACTGACAGAACTCACAAACAAAAAAATTAACAAGGATACAAAATAATTGAGAAACATTCAATCAAGTTGAGCTAACAAACATACACAGAACTCAAAAACTGCAGAATTCATACTCTTTCCAAGTAACTTATGGAACATTAACCAAAGTAGATAATATACTAGGCCTGAGGCTAGTCTTAAATTTCAGTGTTGCAAAATGTGTTCTCTGACCAGAAAAGAATTAAATATGATAACAACGACAGAAAAGTAAAAAATATTCAGTGTGTGTAAAATAAGAAACATGTTTGTAAGTGACTTGTGGGTCAAGGAACAAATCACAATAAAAATTAGGAAATATTTTAACTAATGAAAAAACACACAAAACTCATGCAATATCTAAAGTAATGATTGAGAATAATTAAAAATGCAAAATACATACATCGTAAAGAAAGAATAGTAACAATAAACGATTTTTTCATCTCTGGTAGCTTTTATCTCAAGAAGCTAGGAAAAAAAATTACAGCCAATGGGAAATTTTTAAAAGGAGGAACAACATAAAAGCAGAAATCAATGAAGAATAAAGACAACTTATAAAAGAAAAATCAAAAAAGTCAAAAATTAGTTCTTTAAAAGGATTGATTAAGGCTGGTAAACCCCTAGGAAGACAAATCAAGAAGAAAAAAGACACATACAAATTGCAAATAACAGAAATTAAAAAGAGGACATCACTACCAAACCAACAGATATTTTCATATTTAAAAATTACCACACAAGGAAAATATAAGGCCTAGACAGCTTCACCAACAAATTACTCCAAACACTTCAGTGAAAATCAATACCAATAGTA